TGAATTTGTTTCCCTATTGTTTGAGATCTGGCATGAGGGTGGGTGAAAGATAAAAACATGTTTCAGTGAAAAAATAAACTTGGACACTGCGAGATTAAAATGTCGCTTTGCATAAGGCTTGTTGCCTTTTTCACTTTATGTGAATTAATTAACGCCGAGTGTCACCATGTTTATCGTAATTAAAATTCTAGATAAAAGCAACGTATGCCTTTGCAACGGACTATAGGGGATCTCAGCTTTTTATTTTAGAGACTGATTTAATTATAATAGTGTTCTCTTAAGGAATTTATTATTATTAAGTTTATGTTTCATAAAAAATAAACACTTTATTGTAGACTGCACAGTGTTGCAGCTGCTTCCGGCTCTGTGTGATGTGTATATAAAATTGGAAGTTTGTATACGCACCCACAATACAAAGGAAAATTCAGGTATGCACACAACGTTAACTTAATTTCGGGCTTAGTTGCTGAACAATTGCTTTTACTATGTAGAAGGGATTGCTCAGGTCGAGACGCAATTATCGATTAGTGGAGTAGGTAAAGGTAATTGTTTAATTTTAGGTTGTCTGTTTAAAAAAAAATATATATGTAGTTATCAAAGAAACTATGATTAATATCTTCGTACGTTAATTAATAAAATAATATAAAATATTGTAATACCGAAATATAATGTTATTCTTATGAATCTATAGAAATGTACCTATACTTTTCAGTATAAAGATTTATTTTACATGTTTGTCTATTTTTATTCGCTCCCTCACCTTCCACTTATTGTTTTTCGTTTTGATATTTCGTTGAGGAATATCAAGAAATACAATTGGCACAAAATTATATAATTAAATCTGAGATCAAAATTGGTTAAGGCGGTATGTGTAACAACGTTAAGACATAATCATGTTTTATTAAGATATATAAATAATTATAATTATGTACAGTGCATTTTTTTCTTGCGATTCGGACCTAGGTTTCGTAGCGCGAGCTTGCCAAGAAATTTTCACAAGGTCAATTTTGGTATTGGGTGAGTCTTTTCCTAGTTAATGGACACGGAGGCTTGCGTTGTAATGTTATGTAGACATCGACTGTATATGATATGTATATTTTATCCAAACGATATTGTAGAATAAAACATTAATTTCAAGCATGTTTTCTTTTCTTATTTTCTTGTGTTTACCTGGCACACTTTTCGAAAATTACGTGATCCCCAACCGTACACATACCTCATATACTTTAGATAGGTCTTATTTGACTGTCAAACTTGTACTTCCTGACATTTAAACAAAAATAAAGTATATGCCTATTGAACTCGATGAACGATATGTCCATGTAATCCAAAGATGGAATACTGGTATTTGACTCTCAATATCGCGTATACAACAACAAATGGGCAACGCTCAGTTTCAGAGAGTGTGACGTCAAAGCATCACAATACGGGCGTCCATCACCGTGTAGAACGATCAAATATAATTACTAGTATAGACAGATTAATTCGCTTGAAATCCAATCTTGCATTCCATCATATTGACGTTTCAAACTAGTTATAATGTTCCATGCATACGAAATGTTTAATTTAACATTGTACTGCATACGGACTGCGAAACTTTGTCTGTTATTTGTTGAATACATTTCTGAACACCTCGCATCATACCGTGGTTGGCCCGTATTTTCGATCTTTGTGCACAGGTTTTAAGAAGGCATTTTGGAACAATGATAATATAATGTGTATGCGTAATGAATGGACTGAACAAATCATAAATGAATCAACACTTTTACTAATTCTACTTTTATAATAAATAAAGATACCTTTAAAAAGCCTATAAAGAGATCTTTCACATAAACATATTCCCTCAAAATGTTGCTAGAGAACAGCTGAACCGATTTCATGTTGTCATTGCCAAAGAAAGATTCCTATTAAACAAAAAGGTAGGGCAGGCTAGGGTAGTAACTAATACAGTAGGCTAAGGGCTGAATTTTCAATGGTTCGATAAAAGTTATCTGGGAAATAATTATAATGCACCACATAGTTATGTAAAATAGACTAAGCCAGTGTTAGGCCGAATAAGGAATATCTAAAGTCAAATCTAGTTCGTTTTAAAACTTAAATAAAAAAGCTAACTAATGAATTTCAGTCTCTAACGAACCGAAGACACTATTTAAACATCATGTATTTTTACAAAAATGCTTCAAGATCTAAATCCAGAATAACTGATCCGACTTGTCATGAAAGGTTAGAGATAAGCTCTGAAAATGTCGGCGAATATTTTCATGCGAGATATTCACACGCGGACAATGCACGAGACGGTGTCTCCGCACGTCTAGTGTGGTCAGCAAATTTTATACGTTACTGTAGTGAGATGACAAAACTTTACCTAACAGAGAAGTTTCTTGAACGATAACTTGGTAAATGTTCCCTGTTCTGTAGTACTGCAGAAAATTTATAATATGTAATGTGAAAGCTTCTTCTTTGAAGCTGTTCTATGATCCGAATTAATGAAATAGTTTTGTTTCACTTTTGTATAAAGTGCAATTATTACTATATAACCAAATTACAACAATTAGAATGCGGGTAGTATGCTGGGTGCAACAGTCATACGTGTATAATACAGTAGATATGTACTGTTTGCATCGAGTTTCCTTTCGGGAAATTGCGGTTCCATGAATACATAGTTCATCGGGTCGAACGTTTCTGAGGAAAATGTTACTATAAATTCAAGTTCTCTTTTCCAGTTAATATACATTGTAGGTCCCAATATGACTAAATGTTTTACTAAAACAATATCTATTGTAAGTGTTTGCTATCATTTTTGCGAATTGGGTGTGTTTGTTGAATAAATAACGCGCCCACCAAAAACGTGCTTTTACGAATAGACAGTCTCTAAAGTATATTTATATGGCAAACAATTTGTGTATTACTTTAAGTGAATATATTTTTATATAACGTACGAAGGCCTCAGAGGGACGGCATTGACTGCATTGGGTACCTGTATAATAGAGTAGCTGTGTACCGATTTAGACTTGCATCAATCTTGTATGCACGTTGATGCCTAACTTCCGTTTCTAGTTAATGCTAGTTCATACTTTGTTCTAGTGAGACCGCCTGGCTGTAGATGTTGGTACGACATTATTATTATTTAGTTATTTAAATTGTAAAAATTGTATTCTGAATTTTTAATGAAAAGGTTAATAAAATAATATTCATAATTGGCTTTCAACTTAAATAATAAGTAAAGGCTTTTGCAAATATTTTGTATGTTCGCAATTCCCAAATATTCTGTTTAAATGATTCTGTCTGTTCTCGTTTAATTGTAACAGACAATTGTAAGTGAAACAATTACGCTGTCGGTGCTTATTGACAGTTCGGATAGAGTTGTACCGAAGCGCCCGGTGGGCATATCAAATCACATAACAGCTACCCTTCAGGATACTGTTTGCGAATTCGATTTCATAACTGAACTGCCTTCTTGTTTACCCTGAATTTATTCAGCATTTGACGAGAAAAACAAGAATTTCGAGTCATTTGTAAAGTCAAAATTGTAAATTCTGTAATTAGGTAACAGCTGAAAAGTTACAATTAATTTCCAGCAAGCTGACATCTTTTTAACAATTTGAGATAAATGAGAAGTTGACCTAATAATACGTAGTTATCAAAACTGACAAACGAAACTAATGGCCAGTTCTATCGTGCTACCTGGTAGAGCAGCGGAGCATCCTAGATAGTAGATAGATAATTATATATAATCTGACATGCATTTGTATTTCAGCTTTTCAAGAGATGTAAAGAACAAATTAAAGGAATTATTATTAGAAATTTATTTTCGAATGCTGTACTATGACGAGTTACCGAGATATCGCTTGGTTATCCTTGGTATTGTACTTACCCACATCTGAATGTAAATATTAGTTTCAATAATTTTAAAATATGTTTTAAAAGAGATCTAAGGGGAAGCCATTTGCAACTAATTTTAAAGATGATTATGTCTATCGAATGTCGGCGAACAATTATGTAATTATTTCGAAGCTCGCATGCCTTTGCTATTTTGTATATAACATTTCCATTTTCACAGTTTTTGATGTTTGTCGTTCGATGTTTGTAACATTATGTAGTGTGTGCTGAACTTGTGATGCTTCGTGTTACAATGAAACCTGCTGCTACGTAGTGCATTAGCAACTCTATAGTATAGCCTATCTGATTTAAGCCTTAGCCCTAGATGTCAAGCGCTAGAATGCTTTAAACGAAACTATTTTAGGTATGAACCCGGGTTAACACGTCTGCTAATCCCTTTATTTATCATTCCGTCACCATTTCACAGACGCATGTCATTGTTGGCACAAAAATCCAGTCTTTACCTGTGAATAATAATAAATAGAATAGAAAAACTAACAAAATTTATCATGGTCATGTCCACTTGGTTGCATTTTGGCATAATGATATACTTAAGCAGCAGGCAGCAACCAGACTTAAGAATCCCGTTAAAAATGAAATGAATATATTAATAAAATTGAAGGCTAATTTCATTTGCAAGATAAAATAATCCTATTAGCCTTCTTTATGCAGCGTCGCGTAAGCTTAGTAACATTAATTCTAGTAGTTTGAAAATATCCAGATTAAAAATCTTAGTGGTTATACGTAAAGCTTTTCAATCGCTCCTCTAAAATCGAGGTTCTGAGCTTTAAAGAGGAATTGCAGTTGTCGGGTCTTAGAAATACATTTTCATTTTATATTTGAATGCGGAATTTTATTTGACTTGCGGTAGATACCCATTACGTACCGTCGAACTATTCTCTCGTACTCCAAGTTATACAATGTGAATTGAGTACCAACTTGTTAAAAAAACAAAGCTCACTTCGTGCCACTTTTGTGTGCAATTATTTTTCCTCGGCGCCGCATTTCCTCTTGAATTAACAATGCTTTAAAATAAAGTGTATAAATTGATGTTTATATTTGTGCCCATATTTCGCAAATACGTAATTTGAACACGTATTAACGTGAGACTTGATTTCCAGCATATTTGGAAAGAGCCACACAGACGACAAGATGGAGAACAAGACCCCCGCCGGTTCAGTGAACTTACTCGACGACACCCTGCTGGAGTCACCTAGTTCCGTTTCAGGCGGGAAGATGTCTCAGTCGCTGCCGCACTCGTAAGATAATTTTACAATTTCCTTTTTCACACCTAGTACTTTCTTAGGAATAATATCAATGAAGTTTCACGGAAATAAGTTTTACCGTGCTTGAGAATAATTTAATAGCCGATACACCTAAATGTAATATTATTAGAATCTTAAAAAGTATATCGAACTAGCTTCCGTCTGCGGCTTCGCCCGCGTGGTATATTGATAAAAAGTAGCCTGTGCCCTATTCCGGATATCCTACACCTGTGCTAAATTTCATCCAGTTTCGCGTGATTGAATAACAAATACTCAAACTTTAATATTAGTAAGACTAAGATAGTAATACTTTTGGTAAGAAAACAAAGCTGTGATGTTGATAATTCAACAACATTATATATTACTAAATACTACCTAGCACATGAACTGAACAAAAACATCAGTTGTTCATTGTAGTGGTTGGTAAATAAATATTCAAATAACTTTGCGATGCATCACAGAAATTTTCTCAGCCTTTTGAATTGCTTTCAAGAGTCTGGAAAATTACTCACGAATCGGGCATCGTGCAGACCTAAAGCCGTCGCGCATGAGGATTGCCATACACGCTCAACTACGTTTGCAGATTGCGGGCTTTTGACAAATCATTCTTATGAAATCTGTTTTGCATTCAGTCCTAACTGTAAGAGTCAAAGTGAGAAAGAACACGTTTGTAAGTTTTCTATCACATTTCTTTGCGAGTCAAGTAATATCTATCGATTACAGTGTTAACATACTTTTTGTTATTATTGAAGGATTACGAAATATCTAGTTTTGACCATCTCGTTAAAGTATTCATAAAATAAGCCAGCAGTTATGTAAATGTTGGCTTTTATGAAAATGCCTGGATTGGCGGTCTGACTGAACGAACTACCAACTTTTTAATCAATGTTTAGTGCAGCGCATTTAATCGTGCCAAACACTTTTCATTATAAATGTTAAATAACTTTATTTTTGAGAATAGTTTTTTATTTCGATCTATTATAACTTATTATTATAAATTTTATACTCAGAATGTGTTTTAGTTAGATAGTACTTTAATCGACTATCAACAAAGAACATTATTTACGAGAGTCTACTGTTGGTTCATTCTTGCATCATCCAAAGGCCCGACAGGTACAAAATACCTAAGGCTTTAACTCCGCCTATGCATTAAAGTGTATTAAGTTAAATAAAAAAAATATACTATATAGTCGTCAAAGTATTATTGTGAATTAAAAAAGCCACAAAGAAAACGTGTACGTGATAGGCGTCCGCTTAGATTTACAAACTAATAAGCTTATGTAAAGGTTGTGGTTGAAAGCCTTGTGAGAAGAACATAACGAACTTTTAGTGTTCTTTTGTTTTATTTTGCTTGGAGCTTTTATAAAAGAGCTTTGTTACTAATAAGGGTTCAAGACTTGAGCGGGATTTATTTAAGCAGCTTATAGCTGTAGCAGCCTTCCTCCTCCGGTTTTCCAACTAAAATATTTATTTTTCAAATAATAATAACACGATATTGAATATATTTATGTCATGCATAAAATATATTCAGAAGTAGCAAGACTTCGCTATAACCTTTATTTAACACGTAAGCTCCTTTGAAATATGATGTCTCGCCATTTCAAACGATATATTTATCCGTCTGTAGAAGCCTTCAAGGTGTGATGCACTTTATAAAGCTCCTGGACATACGATTTTAATCTCATCGGCTTCCTACAGCCGTGGCTTAAAGTCTCTAACTTTGAAACGACACAGGGAAATAAGAACTTTAATGCAGCTGGTACATCCATTTCCAGTTTTAAACGTTAAATATTTTCTATTTCCGATCTATTTGAAAAATGTATATCCGCTTGTCGTTTACCTCCTTATGATTTCTAATGTTCTATACCAAGCCTATGAAGGTTCACATGGATATTAAGCAGGCAATCAATAAAAATATTGACTGCACTTTCAAAATCAGGGACCATTGTACTATACGTACGGCGGATTTCGCATTTCCTCTTTCCCATGTTATTCTTGTCGATGCGAATTTTTCATATCTTAGCTGACCCACTTTGAAATTGGATTGTGCTAGCGTGAAGTGTGGATAAATCTGGAGGAAACATCGCAATTTTCTTACGGAAACGTTCTTTTTGTAGTGATATATCGAGGGCTGACGTCATCCAGTGCGACTTCCAAGGTTTTGTAAGGAGGAAGACCATCTTGAAGGACGGACGGAAAATATCGCTGTCGTCCTGGCAGCGCTACTGGCTCCAGCTTTCAGGGAATATCCTCGTGTTTTACGCATCGAAGTCCTTCAAAGGGTATGTAATTGCTACTTTTTCATTTTTTTTTAAACTTGGTTTAACTTCATTTTTGGTGTAAATATTGATTATTGTGTTGCTTTATATAAGTGAAACGGTATAATGATGTCTCTCAAACTCTAGTGTAGATTGATAACGGTATTAGAAAAACTATAGTGCCATAATGGTGTCAACGTGATTGACGTCACTCAGTCCGTGTCATGTCGCTCGGTGTAAACGAAATGTGTCGTGGAAGCCATATTACTCGCTTTGATATTGCCAGAGCTCACCGATCAGCTATAAAATCGGGTTTAGGTGATATTATTTTATCAAACAGTGCCGGCCGCTCCGCTTACGAATCGTTTTCATTTTCATCTGTAAAAAATACACAGCACAATTTTTGTTGCACTAGCTACAGATACGTCGAAAGTTTTTTTTTATGAATATTTAATGTTTTCACATATATCGTATTACTTACTTGGTGCAACGTGAATATTGAATTGACAAAACTTTTCCTTCGACCTGGTAGGTCATATTCTAAGGAAATGATAGTCATGTCATTTCCTTCATGTAGCTTCGGTTACAGAATCTTAGAGCTCCGGAAATCGACTTCGTCTAACGGGTCGTATACAGAAATCGTTGAATAAAACATGAAATATTTGATATTTACGAAGTTTACAACATATGCATGTGACAACGCAAAAATCGATTATTAACTTTTATGGCAAAATTTCAAGTAAGGTTTTGGGATCATTTTGCAAAAAAAAAGAATAGTCAAATAACTATCTTACAAGTACAATGTAGTTTTACGACGAGTCACAACTAGAAGGCGGCGCCAGCAAACTACTGTTCTATGTTACATATACCAACCTGATTAATAATGCACGCTTTAGTTATTGGTTTTGAGGTTTGTGGAATGTGGTGCGGCTTGCAACGAAAATCTAACGCACTGAACAATGTGCCATTTTAATGCCGAAACAATGCACATTTTGAATTGACACAGCTGCGACAGAGCTCGATAGAGCTGCGTGGAAATACAGGGCAACCTACCGTCGCCTATTAATTATTGTCGTTCATGCTACGAGAGCGCTTGGTCTGAAATTTGAACGTGACGTCCGATCATTCAATTTACGTCCTTTGTTTTGGTGGCTTGTAATTTGTAAACGACGTAATTACTTCGATGTATAATATTGTACATGCAGGGCCTTTTCACACGCTCCACTTTTCAAAGTGTACCTACGTTCTGAGGAATATGCGCGTGCTGTCACATGCACTGCAGGTCACGCGTTTTGTCTCACACCCGCATGCCGTAATAATTAGTGCTTTTCACGCGCTCCAGTGTTCGGGACGTATGTGAAAAGACCCGATAGACAAGCTAATTTTTTCGAGCGAATATTGTAGATATTTTTAATAAGGCCTTATTGTGAGCTCTCTTCAAAAGAAAATCGTATAGTTTTACCAAGTTTGCAACAAGATACGTAACGCTATCGAAACATACATCTAAATTGGTACGTTTTTTATCTTCATTTTTAGCAAATAACCGAAAACTGGAAACAATGCTCCGTGTTGTTTGCTACGTAAAATTGTACTGTAATATCTATTGTTTGGATGTACGAAGCATACGGGGGGAACTTTTGTTTGCAAAAAATATGCTAGAACGGTCCGTGTTCTGAAGTAATTGTGAAAATATTTAGTTACATGTTTTGCACATACGTTTTCCGACCTGCCGTATTTTAAACAAACATTTTCTTCTAAGGGCTTTTCGGATGCTCCGATTTTTAGTACTATCAGTACGTAAAAAGAATTTGATATTCTGCAGATAAAACCTGCGTATGTGTTAGTTATGAATAATCCGAAACGCTACATAGGAACTTACATAATCTAATGCCAAATTGAATATTAATTAATCGAACGTCGATTGATGCAATGCTGTAAATCGTTAAATAGAACGTGCATAATATCGAACGTTTGTTTAATCTCGAGATCAAAGCATATCTGTCTAGCAAATAAGCGTATGGTGTATATTATGTATTACAGCGTTTTAATAATATTTGATTATAATCGTGCAGGACGAATCGCAGCGACTTTCGCGACGAGAAGTGCAAGGTGCTATGCTTGGTGGGGTGGTTCGCCAAGATATCTGACGGCGACAGCGCTGACGCATTCCAGCTCATCAACCATCATACCGGCACACTCTACAAGTTCAAGTACGTATCGCATGCAATTACTCAACATATTGTACTTTAGCATTCATGTTGTTTGCAGTAGTGTTCAGTATAATGTAATGAACAGCTATGTCAGTTTAGTCACACGCTGGTAATTTTCCTTTTAGGGCCGCTTCGGAATCTGCAGCGAAGATGTGGGTGCGAGTGATCGAAGATGTCACTACTAAGATTGTGAAGCCCCTGCCGGCTAATCTCATGTCGTTCGAATAGAAGTTCTCGCAAGATACGCGGTGATTATACCTCGCCGCCATTTTTCAATCTCAATCCTTGTACTACGTAAGTAACTATGCCTTTTACGAACAAATTATATTTTAGTTATAAAAGCTTGTCATTTTGTGTGCATAAACTAAGAACTATATCGATATATTTCTGTATACGTCACAAATGGTCGCCATTTAATGTAAAACGTTGTATTGTTGTGTGTCAGTCATTCTAGAGTTCCGTAGTAGCTAGTAACGACGTGTCTAACGTGTGTCCGTCCGGAAACTGCACATTGTTTCAGTTGGTCCGCTTTGATCTTAACGCGACCAACTCAAGTCCGAGCTTTATTAAAGCTAAAAGCAATCAAGTGAGATTGGAAAATAAATAAGCAACAATCCATGAATGTAAAATACCGTTCATCGAAAGCGGATTATGAAGAACATTTCCATTTATTAACTAAAAACTTCGCGATTAAAATGTAATAAAAATAAAGAATGCATATTGTAATTGTACAGAAGTTGTAAAATGTTTCAGTATATTATTGAAAACGAAAGATGATAAATATACGGAACTTTATAGTGATGACGTATTATGTGTAGCATACTCTACGTGGACACGCTTTCAGCGGTGCATTTGTATCAATACTGTCGCATTGTTATTCAATACTTCACATAAACTAAGATAAAATGCACTACTCACTCGCTCAGACTTACAGTTCATGTTAGTATTTTGTATGTTAAAAGCAGGCAGCCAAACTGTTTTACCGACACTTTTAACCATTTGTTATTTAAGATACAATTACAATATTTTTCATTAAACTCTTACCTACATAGGACGATTTTAACAAAAGGAACATATCACATAATGTTATGAAGTAATATTTTTTATTCGACATAGTATGTTTTCTTGTTAGTCACATTCGTCTTAACTTTTTATCGACACAATATAATGCGGTTTTAGGTAGCTAGATAGCTTTTCTCACGTGATATTTTTTTTCATTTATCAAGACTGTTATGTAATACTAATACCGTATTTAAACAAAGTTTTACTCAAAATGAATACTCTGTAAACCGACAAAATATTTTAAGGATACATTTTTATGGAACATGAACAAATTAGTGTGATATTGCTTGAGGCTATATACTTGCCAATTAGGTTTTCTCGCTAAATTATTATTATTATGATAGATTTTCTTGCCAGATCTTCAGGCGCTCAATATTAACTTTTTTTATACGTGTAACTAATTGTAACTGCTATCACAGGAAACACAAGAACAATAATATAATATGCAATAAGTTTTTAGCAAATCACTTTTCGTCCGCACTTTATACAAATAAGTTTATTCGATAAATTGTCTTTTACAGTTTATTGTAGATTATCAGTCGCGAAAGCCTTTCAATGTAAGGTTTAATAAAATATTGTGGCGTCGCTTTAATTTCTTGTGCTCACTATTTCGTGTTGCTCAAATGATATCGTCGCGTATAAAATTTAGCAGCATTGTAGTGTAGAGCGCGAAATCTATTTTTTAATGTATCGGACTGCTAATAAGGCTGTTTTTCGAACGCAGGATGTCTTGCTTCAATGCAGTAATTAGAGGTGTAAGTATTGAGCCTGCCACGGATTTTGCTTTTTTGGTGATAAAATCTCAAAGAGCCTGATACACCGGCAATTTAAGATTGCAATCTAACGCAGCTGGCGTCTATTCGCGATTGTTTCGGTATGTTAAAAGTAGCTTACTGGCAGGGCGCGTTAGTCACAAATATTTAAAGAAAGCGACAACGATTTTTGATCTGTGAACGAGAGTAAGATTTAGTATCTAATATCAGTAAGGTTGTTAGACGATATATCTTCGTGTGGTCAAGCTTGTTGGTTAATGTAAAAAACCGTACGAGTTTATTATTGAAAAGTGCTAACGTACATATTAACGCGATCACTCGGTTATTTTAGCTTGGTGCTATAGCATAGCATAGATTGTAACGGTAAGCGCGATTGTAGACGTTGTTATCGAACATTTATTATAAGTACATCTGAACAATTGATATCAGTACCATAAAATAAAGAAATATTTTTATTATGAAATATAAACAATAAATCTGTTTAAATAAAATAGAGTTAAATATAGGTAATAGATATTGTGCCATTATTATCAAAACAAAGAAGTATTTAAAAAAAAATCTAACACAAATGCGAAACCGATATTAGTAAGAGAATCTATTACTTGTTATATCTATAGGTATGTGTCTTAACAAAAACAAATAATAGCTTATTTATAAACAATGTATTGCACCCTATTCATTATGAATCTTACGGCTATCGTATTATATTTCATTTTCGTGTGGTATAACGCGACGTCCACGTCGACTTTTTTTACTAGAATATTTTAAAGTCACAACTTTACAAACTCGGATAGAACATTGTTCCGAACTAGAGATTCACGAGCTTGTTGTACGTACAAATTCGTATATTCTGCAACTTAAATGAATGTCTGCGCGTCGATTTTTAAACGAAACTTTTCCATACATTCAGGAAGTTGAATGAATACTACATTTCGTTAATTAAAATGTCGTATGACTTTTCAACTTGTGCTGTGTACAGGTTTGTACCTTTTTAATCGATAGAACGATTTTTATATACGATAAAAATGCTTTCCCAACAAAACATCACTTTTTTCTTAATAACTATGTATTGAATATTAAGAACGTTCATCATTTTGAAGTCATACATTTCTAATTTAATTTGAGTTCCTATAATACAAAGTGCATATTATTATAATAGAGAAATGTACGCTCCACATTGTTCGCGGTAAACCACTGTTCACTCTTTGTTCATAGCATTATAGCGGGATTCGCTCGTACGCTTTCACGGTAGCGATTCTGGTTGCTGCCTTAATCCGGGATCTCGATTCTCGCAAATAATTATCATGTATTCAGGCCTACCGATAATACCTAGTCAATCAAATAAATCGCCGGAATGTTCACGCGAATAACTTATTAGTCTAATCACAATACGTTTGCACTAAGTAATTAGCAATATTTTTTACATTCGATACATGTGAGAGATACTGCTAATTACTTTGTACATTAACTCTACTCGAAACATAAAGTATATACCATCACTGACTTATTTGACTCGTGTTTGTATATAAATGTCAAGTTGATGATAAAGAAAAACACTTGTATAAAATGTTTCAAGATATTACAGCACCTCCAGTTCCCTTTGCCTTTTCATAGCGGCTGCGAGTATAAGCTTGTATTCCTGGAAACGTCCGCCCGCTTTAACCTCGGGAATTCACTCCACAGTAAATAAAGTTAACATTTATTTTACTCTATATTCTGTAAAGCCGTTTGTTTTTTTTCTTTTAAGCGTTGTTTGTCTATTGTTCACACTAGTTTTTGCTAGTGTTCCCTAGGTGTTATTCTAATTAATTTTATTCTGATTCAGATGAATATGCATAATATTTTTCCTGGGTTAAAAGCTGGAATTCTTGAGACATTGTAAGAGAATCTCGACATTTTCGAATCGTTTTCGTAATTTATGTCTCTGACCAAGTGCGCAATTTTATCAAGCAAACGTCCGCGCCGCTGTAACTTTTCCCAAACCGAGTGCAATCTTTTAAAACTAAACAAGTTGCACGTTTGGGAAAGTTATCAGTTTCTCAAAACACGAGTCACATAAGTTAGTGTTTCCGAATCTCCTAGCGGACACTTAGTTCCTATTTATACTATTCTCACATTCAGAAGTTAGTAAACTCTGTTCAATACTAAAGAATTTAGTCTGTGGTGCCTAGAGTGTTGGAATAATAAGCAATAAATTCAAGTGTTAGCATACTGTTGCAATAGTAAAGTTATAGCTGTATTTTAAAGTTGTATCCGATCTGTTTATACTGTCTCGAATAAGCAAGAAGTAATCTCTGACTCACCAACTTTAATTGTAACGATATTTTGTATTGTGCTTATATGTCTATTTGTTGTATATAATGCCAGTAGCAGTTCGTCTTTTTTAAGAGCACATGACCCAGTCTCGTGTGTGCCATGTTCTGTGGAAATTGTTTGCTTTCCGAGCGCCGACGTGGCTCGTACGGTAGCCACGTGCAAACTTGCTCTTTATTGGACTGCATTCACAACACTTTTCAATTTAGTCACGACGCGACGTCAACGTTGCGACGTTCGAACATGACGTATCAGTGACGTAGGCGCATCGGATCGATACAATGTGATTCTTGTTATGTAGTTGCGCGTAGTACAATACGCACATTTGTTTAATCGGCCTGCTTATTATGTAAGACACGACATGTCTACTTTAGTTTGAAACATGTTACGAATGAAAGAAAGCATTATGTATCACACGCGACACGATGAAACTTTGATTGAACTTCATTTCATCTATAATGGTTATAAATGCATCCATTATGCTAATCGATATTTTGTATTAAAATGCAAAATGTTTTCTTTATATTACCAAAGCTACGTAAATCTATCTTTTGTATTCTAGTTTAAGTATAGTTATAGTGAGGCTATGATATTTGACTGATACTGGAAATGTTATACCGATTCTAAAAGGACAGACTAAATATTGAATTCTTAACCTAGTTGTTGAACGTTGGTTGATTGTTTATGGAACTGCTACTAGACTCTGTTGCATAACTTGCACCACTTTTATAATTGTTGTCAACTTATCACTATCTATTACAGTCTCTTAGTTATTCCTATCGCTATTATTAATTGAGGTACGAATATCATTGTAATTAAGCTTTGTACGACATACTCCTAAGTGTATTTAATAGCACTTGTGTGCTCTTGTGTTCAATAAAATTCCTACAAAATATACATTATGTTTGTATTATTTAACTGTACCAATGTTCTTAAAGTATTTTTGTATGTAGGAACTATAGTCCTTATAATAGTTGTATAATAATAGGTTAAGTCGTTAATGATGTTTGACAAATTTTTGGTCCGTTTTGTCAACAGTTTAGCAAAATTTTGTATGGCTCTGACGTTAGCGGCAAATGAGAGTTTGCGCATTGCGCATGTTGTTTCACAGAGAGAAGGAGATAGTGTCCACACAGCGGTACGCACGCACACACTCACAAAATTCTTGGAAGTGAATGTGTGTGCGACTCCAACCAGTGCGCATCGTGTCACTTTCATTGTCCTGCGCACATTCTGTATTCGCAGCTTTCTGCCACAGAACGTAGGGGAGTCGAGGTAACTAATTGCAAACAAATGCTGAAAGCAGTTCGCTCACATTCGCTATGTGGAATGGCGAATGTGAGCGAGTGACCTACTGATACTCAAATGATTTATTATTTTCTTTCTTACATATTATAAAGATACTCAGTAAAATCTGCTTCATAATATACAGTGTCGCTCTACTCTCCACCAAGTTCTAAGTACCGTCCAATGAAAATGTCCAATCTCCGAGCACTCAGCCTTATTAGCCATTAGCCGGCTATCGTTCACTATAGAGTGAGTTCCGGAATAACCAGTAATGCATAATGCATGCAAATGATGCTGTCTGTAGCAAAACAGTGTCGTGCTACTCTACACGACGGCTAGCCGGCACTGTGGCGGCCGTCCCGCTCTACCTAACGTCGCGGCGTTTATTGCAAGCAGCACTCAAGGTTGTAGGAAAAGTTTTGAATTGGCGGAAAAAGCTGGTCCAATGAATGTGAATGGTTAAGACACCAAGATAAGTTATAATGTGGGACTGGAGCGCGGGGAGCGTACTGCGCGCGCACCACGTTCCGCAGTGTGCGACTTCCCTCACAGTCGTCGGACAGTTGCCGCGCGCCACAAGCGAGTGTACAGCGACCTTAAGCTATTGTGAACATTCTTAGAGGGTAACCGGTTCGCGCGAAATACGTCGGCCGGCCCGTCTAACACGATAACTACAATATGCCACCAACTTAAAGTAAGTTTTAATCACTTTTATCATAGTTTCAAACTTTATAAAACTATTTTCAATATCTTCTGTGACTTACTTTAAAACTATTTTAAAGTGTTTTCATTTTTTATTTACCGTTTAGTTTGAATTTCTTAGTGTTTGTATGTGTTATTTGTGTATGTTTTGCTGTAAGTGAAATCGTAAAACACTCTTATATAACTTTATACTGGGACTAAGTAAATCCGATGTAAACATACTACGTTGGCTTCAATCGATAAAAAAATCGGCTTGCCCACGATAATTAGGTAGGTTGAATACGCTTGCGTGCATTGTTCTTTTCATAGGGGATTCGATACCTAGTCTATTCTTGTTTTATTTTTACAATGTCTAGAATTAAGTTCACTTGTTTATAACACAACTATACTGCGAGCGGTAACATAGCGAACGCCATGTCTAAGACAGCGCGCACTCTTTACTCCTTTAAGATGTTTCAATTTTTGGGCAATCCTTTTTACATTGGTAACCTAAAACAGTTCTATTAAATACAAAAATCACGTCACAAAAACGTGAATAAGTAAATTTGAATTCGTTAATTCTTGTAATGAAAAAGCGAAAGTAACAATCCGAAATATTTGGTAGGCGATTTGAAGGCCTCCCTAAGCAGGATCCATATTTTGGAACGAAAGGGATGGGTATACCCACGAAGTTACCAAGAGGGTGGGCCATTCACGAATATTTATGAGGCTGACGGGCGTTTAAGTTGTTGGAATCAGTAGCTACTAAGGTTCCAACTCGATGTATTGTATAACTATTGTGAGGTATATGTTTTGACTGTTGTTCTTGCAGGACGTAGTGGCAAACAGGAGTATTTTTCAATGCTATCGTCACTTAGAATGGGTAGGTGAAAGTGGATTTACGGTAAAGAGGAGGTGTATCAAGCACGGGTTGATGGAGACGCCGATAGAGGGCATCCTAGGCTATTGTCTCGAATCAGAAGAGAGATATATAAAAAAAAATCCATCCTAAACCAGCGATCATAGATTTTATATTAATGAATGTGGAAAAAGCAAAGGAGGTAGGTTTATAATATTATTTTTTGTTTTATTTAGACCTAATATGTATTTTACTTAATGAGAGAAGAGCGTGACGATATGTTGTAAATATGTTTTAATCTATTTCAATTTTATTTCATAGCGATTGTCACAATCATACATTAGAAGTGCATTAACATAATGAGTAAGAAATGGTAAGTATGATAGTTTTAATGAAGGAAAAAATATCCATATTATGAAAAATACATACCTACTAACTATGACGTAACAGGATCAAGTAAAAAGCTTAAAAGGGGTCACCATAAGAAGTTGGGGCTGGGGGAAGAGGTTTTTGTCTCAGCTATTGTGTAAAAAACAAAAGACGAGACGAACGGCCTAACTAAATGGATATTTATAAATTGTTGCGGCAGTATACGTGTGTATCTAGTGTGCTGTTTGATATATCGCTTCGTTTATATGAAGTGATCTATCCGAAAGCCTTGAAAAGTATATTTTTTTTACTTTTAAATGTATTTACATACATGCTTAATTGGCATTAAAACAATTGAATCACGTTCATATATTTACACTCAACATCATCTCCTTTGCGATTGCCTTTAAATTTGTTAACACATTACCCTCATGTATATTGTTATAAAGTCATTGTGACGATTAAAACTCAAGCTACCAGTTAGAAGAACTCACAAAATATTCAAGACTTCTCAGGAGTGTAAGAAAGTGTAGACGAACGGGGCCAAACTTGGTGTCAAAGCAAACTTGACTTCACACTCTTAACACAAATTTAAGTAAGCTGCAAAATGTTTAAGAAATATTAATGAACAATGTTTGAGAAACGCAAAATTACTTACTTCAGGTAAACCTCCCAACATATATATTTCTATTAAAAATGCCTACATTTGTATGTCACATGACTCGCATGGCGTGATATAAGTATAACATTTGACCCTAATAAAAATGTGTGCCAGTATAACCCAGAATGCAATTTGTTACATGTCAGTCACTATGCGAAGAATTTAATATATCGTTTCAACTTGTCGTATTTGCCCATTTTTGTATTTCAGTAACAAGTTTTCGCCTATGTTTTTGTATTTTTTCGTACGAAATATACAAACGCACCGTAGGTAGGTATTATATTATTGTGAAAGTGTTAAACAAAAATTCCGCTTATCGTGAAGAAAAGTATTTGCCGAGTCGAAAAACATCGAAGAAAAGTGTGGGTAAGAATAATATGAAATCTGAAAAGTTGTCTCCTAAGCGCCTTACGTTTTTTCTTTCTTTGTTATTAAGTACTTATTTTATGTAAAAAACATTTCATTCTACATATATCAATCGTATCGTAAAATACAATATCAGTATTTAATCTTCAAAGGTCTTCTTGCATACCGAAGAAGAATGAGCATTGATCACCACGCTTATTTATGCACGGTGGATTGACGATTTCAGGCTTATAATATTTCGAAAAGTTTTTTATATCTCTATTATATCTATCGTGGGAGCATTTACTCAATCGCACACACAATAGGCGGCTGGTAGAAAATGCCCATGGTATAAAGCACGGGGGTAGGTATGTAGCAGCAGCAAGGTATGTAGCGTTTACATGTATAAAAAAATGTGTCAAAACGCTTACACCGTAATAAAAAATTGTGGATTACAGAATGAGTTGATCAGTGCGGGAATCGAGCCCGCAACACGCTGCCTATCATCCGTCTGCATGCCGGTCATCACTGTAATCAGTAGTAGTAGTAAGTCATGGTTTGCGCTCAATATATTATTTACCATGTTAACAGTACCTACATTACCTTAAAACCTCGCTTGAAGCGTAATAAGGTACCGCGGCCTCGGCCTGGAGCAGAAGGAACGAGGGGTTTTAAGTCTGTAAAAGACTGGCACTGCCTCACGCCATACCCTAGGCGAGAAAAGAGACTTTCCCTCCACAAAAATGTACATTTAACTTATTAAAGCCATCTCAGTATCAGCCAGGTTTGGAACCCGCACCTCTATGCTTTAGGAGCGCACCTAGGAGCGCACCTTGAGCTTCTCGATGTTCACGACTTCTGGCTTCGTACAACTGTAACAAGGAGGTATCTGAAAGCATTTAGGAAATTTTATTTACGACAAAATAGAAACAAATTCAAAATTACCAAAACTGAAAATCATGTACCTAAAGAGTTATCATTTTGTAATTTGTTTGTAACTGCGAACAGGTTGCACTTGTCGTTGTCCTAAGTAGTACTTGTTGCTTATAGTGCAACAAGTTCTTGTGACCACTTGTCGAAACATCAAGCAAAATATACACGCAACATCAAAAGGAATTCGCAACCACGTGATTGGCCGGCTGTAACTTTAATTATAGGGCTTGATCGACCAATTTTCCGAGAAACGTAAGGCATTTATCACTGTAAAGGCATGGACCACAGCAATGAGTACGTCATTCATTTACCAACGTATGTTCTAACCAAACCTGTCCAACTGATTACGAAACCAAAATTGTCCTGTAATCAAATCTCTCTTATGAATTACCTTAAAAGTTTGTGGTTTAGTTCACTCTAAAGCAGTCTCGATTTACGTTCATAGTAGGTCATTGTAACGATTTATTAAAAAGCTAACTAAAACAAAAAAGTATCACTTCATTGCCACCGGCATTGATTGAATGCATTCTTTTTTCAATCCACACAATACGGTAGTTTCCAACTAGTCAAATTCAATACTTTTATCTAAACGTCAAAACGATACTTTTCTATGAAATTTGTATGAAAAACTGAGTTATGACGTTATAACATTTTTGCGTCAATGCTTACTTATTTCTTAATAATTTGCTAACAAAATCTAATAAGTACTTAGTGTATCGATCGATCGATGAATAAAAGTATAGGTATTTTTCAATATTTTATTGTATTGAAACGTCGAATTAATTTATTTTTGACCAAGGAAACTACCCAATTGCAGAAATGACGCAAAGTAAAAGTAGGCAGGTAATCAACAGTGGCTACATAATGTCACTGTCTCGTTTTACAGGTAGTTTCAATAATTAATGTATTGACAGCTACGATAACGCCACCTAAGTGCACGCACTTAACGTGTCTATAGTAGGTTGGAACGACGGCGAGTGATTAAACTACTTGAGGAGGTACAAACTGTGAAGGTAGGTAAGTGCTTTCGAACTTTGTAGTTCGAATCCCGCGCCGCGGCTGTGATGCAAATTCCCCACTTCGACCCGTAATTGTATGGGCCAAGTTGACGGTGGAACCACAAAAGCAGCTTTCATTCCTGAGAAGTTTTGAATTCGATGTAGTTTCGAGGACGTCGTGTTTGCCTACACACAATTAAAAGTTGTGGTTTAGTTTTCCAACAGTTCGCATGCTTTTATTTAACACTTTCTAAAAGGCAGAACAAAATTAAATGGGAATTTGGTCGTTTGTTCACATTTGCATCGACACCGAACTTTTCTAAAAGTTTGTTTTGTGTTGAGACATGAGCAATTCACTGTATTGCAATAGAATTGAAACCTACCAAAAAGAACAAACGGCGAATGCATTGTTTGTCTATACAAGCGTAGCGCAAAAATCATATTTCAATTTGGACTTACACTAACAGTATTTAATGTTATAAAACAATTGATTTAAGATCGAACCCACGTCATGTTGCGCAGCGCCTCTTCATACGTCAACAGCGCGCCACACTTCAGGTCGACTAGAACACACGCCTTGAAAGTAACTGTAGTTATACCGCTTTATGTGGAACCCATTAAAAATTGCTTACCGCCCTACTCGCAGTCTGTAGTATGGTTAATTTACCTTTAATAATAGTTTGAGTAATCAATAAAATACTGAATACAGCAGGTAAAGACTTCAAGCACATTGAAAATTATGTAAGTATTTTGAGCAAGGTAAGTATAAAATATTACTTTTATTATGTTACAAAAAGCCAGAAGTAATTACAAAGTGATATGTGAAAAGGTGAAAAGTGATTGTATTTATTGACAGTGCAGTTAGTGATAACAGTGAGTACTCTTCAGCGAACAAAAAGTTTAGTGTTACGAAGAGCTGAAAAAGATTGAACTATACAAGATAAGTAAACGTTTCTATATATTCAATGCTTTTCAAACCGCTTTGTTGCTTGTGTAAGATGTAAGGTCTGAGAATTTCTAAACGAGAGGTCTGAGGGCCAAAAAATATTTAAAGTATATTAGATGTTCGAAATTGAATGATAACTTGGAAGAAAAAACAAGAACTTAAAGCTGTACTTCGCGGCCTCCTCTAAAGTAGGAGAACGAACTGGTTTATAGTCAGTAAGAATCTGACACTCTTTCGCCTCACCCTGGGCGAAAGAAGTCATTTGATGATTTTCACATCACAAAAAAGCTGTAGTGCTATGCCCATTATCCTCATTGCTAAATATATTAAGTTTTAGTTAAACAACTGATTAGATATAAATTGCACCTTATAAATAAATGTAAACATATGTATAACTCGATGTAACTAACAAACTAATCTCTATAAAACAGCAACCATGACCTAAAAAATGACAATGCTTAAAACATAGTCTGAAACAAGAATAGCAAAAGAACTACAAACAATAAGCACTTAATGAAATTGCTAGGGGCTAAAGGCTGTGCAAAGAAAGAGAGACCTTGTCTTTAATCGCGAACTTAGATCAAACATCGCTCTACAAACAAAGACGAGTGCGATGACGTCACGACTATGTTGAACGAAGGTACAATGCCGAACTCATTTCCATGGTGTATGTAAACAGTGTACTCGCATGGCGGCCAGTCCCCACATGAAAGCAAGCAAACATATAAATAAATTACACCATTTTACTTTAATACCTTAGTTCCTTTTGTAACCTTGGCAAATGCAATTTTTATTTCGTTACTGAATAACAAAACATTTTTGTTTACTTTTTTTTATGAAAGTTTTATACATTCTCATAATACTGTAAAGAAACTGTAGGTTCTTGAAGTGGAAACTACGCGTATGATTCCTAAGTAAGCCTAAATTAAATTATACTTAAATTGGAAATA